GAGAGAGAAAGTGAGAAAGCAAGCTGCCAAGTCTGGGACTTGAATGGTGATCAGCCATGGAGGAGTTGAGTGCCCCAATGACCATGTCACCTGTTGGCTCTCTAATTCTATTCTTTATTGAAGAAGAATGTTCTATTACGTTAACAGTGATTTGTAACAACTCAAAAACTAGAACTAGAACCATGGTCGGCTATGTGGGAGTCCAACGCCCTTAACCAGCACGCCTCCTGCCAACCCCCATATATTTCATTTATAAAGGCTTTCCAGCGTATTAAGTAATTTTAAAGGGAAATATGGAAATTAAAAAGCATATAAGTGCAAGCGGGAAAGCAGGCTGATGACGACAAGTGGCTTTGAGTTGCTGCCAGCGTAGTCATTTGCACTTGGACACGTTCGCCCAGTGGGTCATCTCGACGACGTTTCCGTTAGCTGCCCAGGTGTTCCCCTCCTTCAGCATTTGACATTCCAGGGTGAAACATAAATATCTATTCGAGGAGCTCTTTTTACATAGTGGCATGTCATGAATATGGAAACATGCTTTGAACGAAGAAACGATCTCTCCTCACCATTTATTTCTTTATAAATGGTTGAGTCAGAAGTAGCCAGTATGAGGTCTGGATGTTTTTCTCCAAGAACAGGATTCCAGGTATTGGGTTTTGTGTTCCTGACGCTTTGTCAAAGCTGGTCCGGTTAGGGTTTTCTGTTTAACTGTGCTGGAGCACTAATGTGGTGCATAGCAGCCCTGAAGTTTTTAAGCTTTCCATCTCTCTGTCCCTGATGGTTTATCTTGATTTATTCTGCATTAAAAAATGGTTTACTTTTCATATGAATATTAATCATCCCACTCATAGGTTCACCACCGTAATAATCCCAAAGGGGATATACTTGAAAGCAAAACATTCTCATGTGAATTAAAGCTAGAAGTTATAAATAAAAAACATTTCTAGCGTCACATAAACATGACCCATCAGAATTCAGTACTAGCATATAGAAATAATTTTGCTGTTTTTTTTTTCCCCTCCTTCGGCAGATGCATATCCATCAGTTAGTACCCATGTGTTTATCAAAAATCTGGACTATACCTGTTGTGATGACACGTGTCTTTTCATGTCTGCGGATATTTTTCTCCACCAGTGATCTGAAGATAAAAGTCGGAGGCAGGCACGTCCGTGCTCACAAGTTTGTCCTGGCAGCCCGCAGTGACAGCTGGAGTCTGGCCAACCTGTCTTCCATAGAGGAACTGGACCTGTCAGGTGAGCCTCCGTCAGGTCTCCATCAGGGACACACAACTGCCAGCCCGGGAACTCCTGGCAGAAGCTTCCCGTGCCATTGGAGAAGATGTGCATTTTAATGAAAGTATCCATTGATGATGCCAGAAACTAGTTAAATACTTAGTGAATCAGTAAGGTATGCTTTGTGGATGTTTCTGTTTAGTACCTAACAGATCATAAATATGGGCATATGTATAATGTTTTTATGATTTATAAAACGTAAGGATCTTTCTGTAAGCTCATTTCATATGACACCATGTTACAGATAAGGAAGCATGTGCAGAAAGAATTTTTCCTACAGTCTAAGAAAAGGTCCTGCCGAGAACTGCTGAGCATTTAATAATAGCCAGAGTACCTTTTCTAGCCCATAAGAACCGAATTCAGAAGTAACTATTAACTTTGGAGAACAACATCATTCTTTCTTTAACTTTGTAGTATGACCATGAGTCTTCATAATTTTAATAGGTGTGAGTAACCATTAGTGACCATGTACGATGGTGGACATGTTACTCTGTTTTGCCATAGCAACCATCTTACTATATATTGGGTCATCGGAACACTCATGACGCATTTTTACATAGACAAACACAGAAAAATATATCATGACTTGGGGCTGGCAGGTGGCATGATGGATAAAGGTGCTGGATTCCCACATGGCGGACTGCGGTTCAAGTCCTAGACCTGCGGCTTGCTTTCTTGTTTTCCTTTTCTCTCTCTGTCTCTCTCTAGTCAAATTTAAAAAATAATAAAATGGGAGGCCAGCAAGTGGCATGGTGGTTAAGAACACCGGACTCCCACATGGCTGACCACGGTTTGAGTCCTGGACCTGGCAGCTTGCTTTCTCACTTTCTCTCTCTCTCTCTCGTCAAATTAAAATAAATGAATGAATAAGTAAGGTTAAATATTTTTTTATAATAATAATAATACAGAATTAAATCAATAAATAATTCTTTTTTTTTTTTAGAGAGAGGTTTTTTTGCTATAGGGCGCGTGTGCTCACCAGACAGACAGAGAGAGACAGAGATACAGAAAGCGAGAAATCACCCCCCACGGGGGATGGTCACGTCACAGTCCCACTCCCTTCTCCATCCTCCTCTCGGGATCTTGGGCACGCACACGCGCCCGGCGTGAGTTTTAAGCCACCAGGTCTGGGACGCAAACCGTGGTCGACTACATGGGAGTCCAGCGACATAGCCATTACGCTAACTGCTTGTTCCCAATAAATAATTCTTTTAAAAAAGAAAAATACATCATGACTTTCACCAGGACTCACTCTTTCTCTTTCTATATATATATATTTTTTTATGTGTGTGTGTGTGTGTATATATATATACACTATATATATATATATATGTATGTATGTATGTATCATAGAATGCTGTGTTATGTACCCTAGATATATACAGTAAAATTTATTTTAAAAATAATTTTTAATAGATGTAGTGGGCTATTTAATGATGTTACTTGTTTTATGCCATATTATATAGAATTTGGGTAGATATGATAGTAAGTGGATTATTTACTTTTCAAAAGTTGACTCTAAATTTGCATGTTCGCTTAGTACTTGCCTAACTGCTATTAAAAAAAGGTAAAAAGCAGTTTTAATTTGATTCTGCTGTTTTTAATCATGAAAAGTGTAAATGGTGAGGAGAACGTCCAGGCACTGAGGTATGAGGTGTTTGGTGTAAGCGGGCGGGGTGGGATGAGAGGCCCGGACGTAACCAGAACAGGCTGGGGGCGTGCACCTGTAACTAACTGGAAGGCTGGGGAGGATCACAGCACGGTGAGACCTTAAATAAATATATCTCTCTGTTTCTGGATCTTACTTTCTTTCTTATTAAAAAAATAAAATAGTTAGAGGTATTCGTAGAAGTGATTGACTGTGGAATTTTGCTGAAATATTCAAAGGGATCTCTAGTTCAGAAGGTACTGTTTTCCATTACATACGCTGAGGTAATCATAACACAGCTCCTGCCATTTGAAGCTTGTACTCTGTTGGAGAAAACAGGCTATTAAAAATCATCCCATGCGGGAGAGGTGGTCAGCAGGTGGCATGGTGGCATGGTGGTTAGGGGTGCTGGACTCCCACATGACTGACTGTGGTTTGAGTTCCAGACCTGGCGGCTTTCTTTCTCTCTCTCTCTCTCACACACACACTCTGTCCCACTCTGGTCAAATCAAAATGGATGAATGAAGGAATGTTTTAAAAAAAAAAAATCATCCTATGGGGCTAGCATCTAGAGTGGTGATTAAAGCAATGGGTTCCTACATGGTTGACTACAGTTGGAGTCCTGGACCTGGTGGCTTGGTTTCTCACTTTCTGTCTCTCTTGTTAGTACATGTGCTCTGTAGCAAAGTTTAATAATACTACTACTAATAATAATACATAAAATTAAATAATTATTTTTAAAAATCATCCCACACCAGAGCTATAAATATATTGGGTCATTGAAAAAGTCATGACATATTTTTTCTATGCAAAAATGTATCTTGGGACCAGCAGTTGGCGTAATGGTTATGTCGCTGGGCTCAAATGTAGTCAACCGCGGTTCGGGTTCGAGTCCTGGACCCAGTTGCTTAAACTCATGCCAGGCGCGTGTGCGTGCGTGCCCACGATCCCAAGAGGAGAATGGAGGAGACGGAATTGTGGCATGGCCAGCCCCTCTGGGGGGTGATTTCTCACTTTCTGTCTCTCTCTCTCTGTCTTTCTGGTGAACACACGCGCCCTATAGCAAAAATGTCTCCACAAAAAAAAAAAAGAAAAGAAAAAAGTGTCATGACTTTCCCAACAAACCATAATTGCTTAATTATGTAGCATAATTGCCTTATGTTTAAGGTATGAAGAGACTGTGTTAGGTTAATCAAGAAGGTAGCACAGGTAGCTAACGTGAGGAGTACTGCTAAGGATAAATAAGTATGGATTTAGGGGAATCGGTGTTCTAGTGCTTCTCTGTTGTGAGTGAACTCTGTCTCTTCGTGGTAATTCCTAGGGTTTGACTTGATGTCCCTCATTCAGTGTTATAAAGACAGGTGTACATACATATACACACGTGTCACTGCATGTTTTCCTATAACCAAGACATGACCTTGGGAAGCAGTCTTTCCCAGAAGAGATTGAGTTCACTTCATTGAAATCTGAGAGCATAGCTTTTCATTTTTAAAAACATCATCTTTTGAAGCTATATACCTTTGACCTCTTAAATAGCAGAATTATTGATTTCTTTTTTAAAGTGGTGGTGGTATTTGCAATAGAGCATGTGTACTTGTCAGAGACAGTGAGAGGGAAAATGAGAAATCACCCCTCGAAGGAGGATGGCCATACCACAGTCCCTTCTCCTCCTGGGGTTTTGGACATGCATGCACACATGCCTGCTGTGATTTTCTTTTTTTTTTTCTTTTTTTCTTTTTTTTTTTGAGAGTTTTTTTTGCTATAGAGTGCGTGCACTCGCCAGACAGACAGAGACAGAGAGACAGAAAGCGAGAAATCACCCCCCAGGGGGGAGGGGGGATGGCCATGCCGCAATCCCTCCTCCTCCATTCTCCTCTCAGGATCTTGGGCATGCACGCACATGCGCCTGGTGTGAGTTTAAGCCACCGGGTCCTGGACTCAAACTGCGGTCGACTACGTGGGAGTCCAGCGACGTAGCCATTACGCTAACTGCTGGCCCCTCTGCTGTGATTTTCAAGCTGCCAGGTCTCGGACTTGAACTGTGGTTGGCCATGTAGAAGTCCAGCACCTTAACCGCTGTGCTACCTACTGGCCCTGATTATGGATTTTTTTTTTTTGAGAGGTTTTAGCTATAGGGTATGTGCGCTTACCAGAGGCAGACAGAAAGCAAGAAATCGCCCCCTGGGGGGATGGCCACGCCACAATCCCTTCTCCTCCATTCTCCTCTCAGGATCTTGGGCACACACACACATGCACCTGGTGTGAGTTTAAGCCACCGGGTCCAGGACTCGAACTGTGGTCAACTACATGGAAGTCCAGCAATGTAGCCATTATGCCATCTGCTGGTCTCCGATTATGAATAATTTTTAAAACCCAATTAGATCATGAGGTATTCTTCACAAAATGTGTGGTAGGATCTTCATTTTGTAAATAGTTTACAAAGAGTAGAAAAGATAGTAAAAATATGGAAAAACACTTCGTTAGAAAAAAGTTAAGAATAAGTTACCAAATTTGATATCTACATTGTCAAAGATAATGATTCCATAGTCATGAAGCTCCTGAAATTGGCACTCTGTTGCCAATAACATTAAAATGGTATAGCTATTTAGAAAGTAGCAGTGTGCACCAGCAGGTGACAGAGTGGTTAAGGTTCTGGATCCCACATGGCTGACTCTATGGTTCAAGTCTCAGACTCGGTAGCTTGAAAAAAAAAAAAAAAACACTAGGCATATATGTGTGTGTGCCCAAAATTCTGAGAGTAAAATGGAGGAGTGGCCATCCCCACTAGGGGTTGGTTTCTCCCTTTATCTCCCTCTGTCTCTCTCTGGTGAACACTCATGCCTTAAGGCAAAAATCTAAAAACAGAAGAAAAACAAAACAAAACCCAAAAAACGGAAAGAAAAGAAAGTAACAATTCTAGAACCAGTTAGATGATGTGGAGGTTAAGGTAGGTGGATCCCATGTGGCTTACTGCATAGTTCGAGTCCAGGACCCAGTGGATTAACGAGTTAACTGTGTGTACGTGTGAGCCCAAAGCCCCAAGAAGGAATGGAGAAGAGATTGCAACATGGCCATCCCTCCTGAGGGGAGCTTTCTCACAACCCCTCCCATTTTTGTGAGTACATGTGTCCTATAGCAAATTTAAAAAATACATCGATTGGGTCAGCAGGTAGTGTGGAGTTTAAGAAGGCTGGATCCTACATAGCCAACTCCCTGTTTTGAATCCTGGACCCGGTGGCTTAAAATCACACCAGGCATATGTGTGTATGTGCCCAAAATCCCGGGAGGAGAATGAAGGAGAAGGGATTGCAGC